GAGGACATGGAGATCATGGTGTCACCCTGGGACTGGAGTTTGGCGCGGGGCGTGTGGGTGGTGTCCCTCGGAGATGGCAGTAGCTCCCGTGCACCCTGCGCTATCCCATCCCTGGCCAGGAATTCGGCTCCATTCAGGCTTGCTTGCCCCTTCATAGTCAGCTGTCTTGGATCTGCTGATGAATGTGTGTGTTGCCTTCTCCCACCACACCCCACGTGGACTTCCAGCTGCAGATGGCCACGGCCAGCACAGCCGTGAGGTAAAGGGCCACTGTGAGCTGCTTCGAGAGAAGGCACAGCCGTGACCACCAAGGTGCTCAGCAGATGCCTTTCCCGGACAACGTATCCTAAATGTGCTGCGTATGTCAGTGTGGAATAGATGCTCGCACAGACGGCTGCTCATGCTGCACCTGACAAAGTGTTTCTTTTTATTGCCATGCTAAAGAAGCCTTGCTCGGAGGCTCCTCCTTACCCGCCAAGGGTCAGTTGGGCTCAATTCTGTTTCGCCTCCGTGTGTTTCAGTATGTAAACATCAGACTCCTAGATGGTAGTGTGTTTGGACTCCATGAGGCCTGTAGGATCTAAGCGTTAAAAAAAAAAAGGAACGAAAAATAATAAAAACAAAATAGAAAAGCCCCAAGACCCATGTTACAGTCCGTGTTTTGAAGTTCTTGCTTCTATGCCGGTGATCGATGCAGCTGTGTTGTAAAGGCCTTGTTCTTGAAATGAAGCAAACCAGGCTTTTTTTTTTTCTGTGTTTTTTTTTTCTTGTTTTTTAATCCTTTCTTCCCTAGTTAAGAGTTCATTCAGCCTTATCTGCTGCAGTTCCTTCCCTCCCACCCCCCTGTTCCCATTCCCTAGGGAAACACAGGTGTCAATCCAGTGTTACAGGTCATGTTGTCCTTCCCTGGCAGCCGTCGGTCGTTGAACGTGTGCATGTTGATCACGGCGTCTGTCTTTACCATGACGGGTGGCTGGGGCTTGTGTTTGACCCGTCGCTGGCAGGTGAGCGACAGCCGGATCTCATCGGCCATGGCGCTGCAGAAGGAGCGCTGGGGAGAGCAGGGACAAAAAGCACCGTTACTCCTGGCAAAATGTTCTGCTAACCTCTCCGTGAACAGGAGGATGCTGAAACTAGGCTCTGCAGAGGGCAGGCATGAGGTTTAGGCTGCATTTAAGGCATCAGCTGTGCTTAGGGGGACTTCAGTGATGCACGGGCATCTGGTTGACCCCTCTCTCCTTTGGCAAAAATTGTACCTTTGATACACTAAATCCTGCAGAAAGGCAGAGCTATAGGCGGCTGTTGGAGTGCCGGTGCTTTGTGTGATCCCTGCTGGGTATCTGGTAGATTTATGTGCTGGGAAACAGAGGGCTATTGAATCCTGCTGGGCTTGCTAGTGGGCAGTTTTCCTTCATCTATCTAGTCCATCACATGGGCAGCTTTGACTTCTGGTCATGCACGCAAATGCACTTTCCACTTGCTGTACCATGACACGCAAGGAAGAAGGAAAAACATTAAAAGCAGTCGTCTTGTTTCATGAGCATTAACCAGCCACTGTGGGTGAGATGTTTGGGTAAGTGTTGTGAAAAGTTGGTAAAATAGTATGAGGCTTTCTCGTGGACCCTGACCAGTTCCTTGAGGCTCTTTGAACAGGAGTGGGGAGAAGACATGGAGACTTCATGTGTGTATACATTACGCCTGGAATATGCAACATGATTGCATGTGATACTGGCGAGTGGATATAACAGCTCCCTCCCCTGAGAGGGACCTCTGTCCATATTTTCATGACTTACATGTCGGCTTGCTCAAAATTACCCTACAAGTGTTTACTAGTCTAGTTACTGCAGCAGCAGATGACCCTGATCAGAGTAGACATGATTTGTCCCCTGACCTGAGGCTGTCGGAGCTGGACAGAAGCAATGAGCCTCAGGGAATGGCATTTCGGGGGTGCTGCATTTCAGCCCTTGGGCTGCTGGCGCACGGACCTCCAGGCAGCAGGGGCAGGGCTGAATCCCTCTGCCCGTCTCCCTGCCTGTCTCTGGGGTCAGCGTGCAAAATCCTTAACGGCTGGGCTAGTGGTGGTGCAGGGAGACTGAGGAAATCAGTACCTGCTCACGCTCCGCCGTTTTGCGCAGCTTGTAGATGAACTCCACCATGGCCACGAAGACGGACAGCACCAAGCCTGCTGCCAAAACGATGAAAATCCCACCAATGTTTTGGATGCCCAGAGCACTGGCCTCCTTGTTCTCATCCTCAGGGCAGCCATTCCCTCGCCACCACTTCTCTTTCATTACGTGGAGCTTGTCTTCCTCCTGGAGCTGGAGGATGGCAATGGTGATCTTGTCCCTGTACGGTGACCCTGGGGAGGGGGAACGCCATTACACACAGAGGGAAAGTAGGACAAAAATCACAGAAAGTAGGGAATATGTCTGCATGAAGCAGGGCTGTTCAGACTGCTCTTCAACAGGCAGACAGCGTAAGCTTTGGTATTTGGAAATCCACTGTTGGGAGCGGACTATCTTAATCCCATCTGTTGTATTTGTGGTAACTGGCCCCCCTCCAGGGCTACCTACAGAAACCCCACCACTGTGACTTACCCATGGGAGTGCCAATCCCGTAGCCTTTGGAATCGATGAGCCCCCCGATCTGAGTCAGGTTGCAGTTCCTCTGGGTGATGTATTCGATGGTGGTTGACTCCATCAGCAGGGCGTAATCGGCTGTGAGGGTTCGCTGGATTCCTTCCTCGTTGTTTTTAACAAGTGCTGTGGGTTTGCTGCTCATGAAAGCCCACATTTTTTCAAACGTGGAAATTTTGGATTTCTGGAAAAACGATACCCACCCACCCCACCCAAAAATAAGAATTAGTCTTCTATTTGCTGAAACCTCGTGTCTTTACAGTAAAAGATAATACCAGTTTGAGAACAGATCACATAATGGAACTATTACCAATTTGACCTTGTCTTAAGTATCTCTCTACTTTCACTGCCCAACATTGTTTGGCTTCGTGTTGCCATAACAAGAGACAAAGGTTCCAGCACACATTGTGCAGACACTCAGC